AGGAGAGAAACCTGACAAAGACAAGAGCCAAAATTACTGAACCATTCCCTTGTCAGAATGGCTTCTCCCGTTTTCTAATTCCATTCCAGTGGCAACCACACACTCACCTTCTTCAATGTTGGACTTCATATCCGGATCCATACTGCAGAAATGAAATTCAGAGGATTCCTAGTACAGGCACCTGGGTCTGGAGGTTCTATTCTGGCATCTAAATTATCAGGTAAATCACCTAGAGAAATACTATTCTCCATGTTCATGCATGTAGGTAGTCTGTTCTGCTTATCCGTGAAAGCTTTCTGCAACTTGACTGCTAAAATAGATACTTGTTCATGATCGATAGTTTTCGGTGTATATGTTGGACCAGCACGAGTGCTTGAGAAGACACGCAGTGTTTCCTGATCTTTGGACCTGGACTGGACTCCAAATGATATCACAGGGGAATTTGTACTTGCATGACGTTTAGACCTCACATATACACGTGGTTTAGTGGCAATTTGCTTACCTTTAGAATTGGGATTCTGAGTAGGCTTGGTTGAAGTACAGAATTTCCAGGGTCCGCAGACTGGGGATCCATCAACTCCTTTTAATGATCGTCAATTGTTGAGCAACAAAACTACTATTAAAACCCTGTTCCTGATTGCCAGCATTCAGCTCCTGGTTTTTCAGCTTGTAATTACGACTTTGCTTCCTCGTAGCCACCATCCAATCTCCAAATTTCTGATTCCCGCCACGAAATCCGCTTGTCACAGACTTTCCATTTTCAGCTCCATCAGCGACCGGCAATGGAACAGTATTCTCAGAGGTGTCGTTTCATAATCGAAGAAGTAACAAGCATCAAGGCCTTTAGCCTTTTCAATAACATATAGGGGGAAATGATACGTATCGTGGCCCAAAATCCCACAAAAACAGCATATTTGATGCAGCCGCTCATAAACAACTTTGTAGTCTTCTCCATCAAAACCAGTACCCACCAATGGCTTGATGAGTCAACTTCCACACAAACACGAGCAAATGGTCCTCTAGTTACAATAGAGGTGTTCAGATCAACCTGAACAGGTCTTCCAATTCCTGAGACCAAAGCGCCTAACGCATCATAATCATAGGACATTACTGTCAATTCAGGAAATCTCAGCCAGGCTATGGTTTTGCCAAAAGTGGCTTCAGAAAGGCGAAATTCAGGACTCCTGTCTCACTATTAAATATGCACCCTGAAAAATCCAACGACCATCTTCCATAACCTTGTTTAATTCATCCTCATTCTCAAAACGAATCAATAAAAAATCCAAGCCCAAATCCAAGATATCTCATTCACCCTTAGGTTTCCACAGCTGATGAACTCTGGCATAAAACACTGTAGCCAACAGTCCTTCCTAACAACTTGACAATTATTACCGTCTTCCATGTAACCATAAGCATCTCCTTCAGATTAGAAGAACCATTGACTTCAGGGCGCATAGAGTCATTGTCTTTGAAAGGCATGAGCCGTGCTTACGCTTTTCCAGTTTCCCAGTGAGTTTTTCTTTAATTTATAGCTTTATATGTTTTATGATCGAATAATCTGCTAAAAAGTATTTTGAATTATTAATAACAAGATGGTAGCCTGTGTTAAGTAAGCATGGACTTGTAGATCAGATTTAAAATTAGATTCTAGTGCTTAGTATTTCTGAAAATTTATTTTTCAGAATTTATTTTTAAAATACTTAAAATCGTAAGTTAGGAAATGTCAGGTAGGATTATAAAATACGTCTTGTACAGAGCTTTCAATATATGTTTTTTTTTTTTTTTCAACAATAGCGTAGAGTATTTTATAACCAAACAACTGTGTTTTATTTACTCATATTTTGAGTAAGAAGTGTGCAGGTTCTAAATACAATTTCATTAGAGTATTTGTTGGGTTTTGTGATCAAGGAAGTTTGTGAAGATCATCACCAGTTCTGGTCGTATACAATTATTGAAGAATAAATATATGTTTACAAAGGCCATCTAGCTTATAGTCCATAACCGTATGCAACTAAGGCCCTCTAGGCTCTAGCCCTAAATCAGAGTTTAAAAAGCTAGCAAGAGGATATACAAAATTGCGTAGGAGCCCGAACACAACATTTTCATTCTTTGGGCTTTAGTAGAGACATAAAATACAAGAAATCACCTTTCCATTTTAACAATAGGTCTTAAAATGAATTTATTAAGGCAAGTGGATATTATCATTTAGGATACTGCTAACTTCACAAATCAAACTATTATTTTCCTTAATTTTTTTCAGAAAATTATCAATGCCCTCTTCACTAGTATAGTAATATGTGTTATAGAATAGTTAGTTATTGGTAATTAGTAAAAGGTATATTGGTAATTGTACGGAAAAAACAGTGGGAATAACAATTTAATTGATAAATTTAGCGGTGTCTTATCATTTGTTGTTGAAGCTTCTATCTTTCTTCTTTAGATATATTTATAGATAAATATATTCATCTGTCTTTATATAATACTCAAAATCTTCTATATGTTTCTATATTTTTAATTATATTCTATTTGTCTATGAAAATATTTAAAATGTTTAATTTATTCTTTCCTTCAATTTTTCCGACCGAATGAAAATTTTATAACCGAAATACCCCGATTGAAATGCAAAAAATAATAATAATAAAATAAAATTTTAAAGACTTTAAATTAAAAATAAAACATTTAGGTCATGTGACTTTAATTTTATTTTTTATTTTTTTGCATTATAGTATTGGGCATTTAGATTTAAAAAAAAAAATCATGGTTGGAAAATTTAAATGAAAAAAAAAAACAGATTAAACATTTCAAAATTTTTCAAAAATGGATATATAGGATGCAATTAAAAATTTAAAGACATATGAGAAATTTTAAGTATTGTATAATGATAGATTGATATATTTATCTGATATTGATAGGTTGTAGGATGTTTTTTTATTAATTTTTATGTTAATCAAAATTAAACTTATTTTTTAAAAAAATTAGATCAATATTAAATCACTCCTAACTTTCGGTTGAAGCTTCTATGTTTCTAAGACAAGTTAAAAGCTATCCTCAATAACACCATGTACAATAAATGTTTTAGTATAATAATATTAGTCACGTTTGCAAACTCACTTCTTATGATCATAAAGGCAACCCTTTTTCAGATAAAAGGACGTTTGGCTTCAAACCGATATTGTCTGTGTGACTAGCAATCATTAGAGTGAAAAAGATTTATAGTGATTGTTTTTCCTTAGGCTTGTTGTCAATAAACTCTTCATTCAAAGCAACCCTTACTCGATGAGTTTTTCGAAAAGTGATAAGTGGCATATGGCCTCAAAGAATGTCCTTGTGAGCTCTATCGGCTTTGCATTTTGCATTTGGTCTTAAAAAAAAATGGAGGGGAAAAAAAGGATTTTGTGCTGGAGATGCAAAAATTAGTCTATTTAGTATTTAAATATAAATTAATTATTCTTTTGTTTTAAAAACTAATTATTTAGTTTTTTTATCTGTTTTATGTTCTTTTTTATTTTAAAAATAGAAAAAATAAATATTTTGCAAAATTGACGAGAGAAGACGATAATTTTTTAAAATAAAATAATATTAAATTAAATATAATCAATATTGCTAAAAATTAAATAATTAGTTTTTAAAAACAAAAAATAATTTTTAAAAAAATAAGAAATAACCTATTATTTACTAATAATTAATTAATTAATATACAAAGTATGACGATAGAATTACATTTTTCAGACACAAGCAAAGGTTTCAACTTGCGTAACACTGATATAATAATAATAAATAAATAAAAACATTAAAAAATACGTAAGGATATTAACAGGCTTATTGTTACGGGTAGGGCCTACCCAATGTGTCTAGTGGTCCAAGACCAAACCCATTTTCTTATTTCCAACGTGGATGATAGCAGGTGCATGACATAAGCATGAAGTGTGATGATGCCAAAAACATTATCAATTTTCACAAAAAGTCCACTACTAGAAATAAAAAAGACACTGAAAACTGAATTTTGCTGCCACACTCTCTCTGTCTGACTATCTCCCTCGAACACTAAGCAATCACATTCCATCATTCGAAAGAAAAATGATTTCCCACAAACTTTTCATCCTAAATTTCTATATAAATTTATATTTCAATATCTATAAATCCTAAGTTATATCTTTTAAATAATTGGTCTATCACATAAAATTATTTTATGTATTTGTATCAAAAATTTATTCATATATATTAAAAGATCATATCAACCCAAATTAAAATTTTAACATATTCGATTATGTTTCAAAAATAATTTTATATTATTTTTTAACATTTTTTTTAAATAAAAATCTTTTAAAATTTAAAATTTATACAAATTTATTACTATATTGTACTATTTGATTTTTAATTTAATTAAAAAAATAAAACTAATAAATTCGAACTGTTGACCAACTAGTAGGAATAGACGAGTATAATTAAAAAAAAAAAAAAAAAAAGAGGTAAAGAAGACTTGGTTTCCTCCTTTGCTAGTTTTGATCATCAAAGTTATGATATCACTCTCTAACAATATTATAGTATTATTTTGAATTAAAAATGTCTTTTGTCTATTATTTTGAAAAAAATAATATTTATATTCATATAAAAATTTTTTATCAAAAATTTATTTGTATAATATCATTTGCTTTAAAAGTGTCTTTTATATATATATATATACATATAAATAAATTTTTGATATGTATAAGACTATATATATATATATATATATATATATATATATATATATATATATATAGGAAGCTAAACTCTAGCTCCACCCACTTTGATCCCAGTTGTGATTCGTCATCGAATGCGCCTTCTTCTTCACGTCACATGTACTTGCCTTTCTCTCTCGTATTTTCTTGCTCTATAAATTTGATCATCCTCTTTGGTCCCAAACATCATTGACAACATATATAGCTCGAACTAGAAGTAGAAGTACTGCGTACAGTTGTTTGGTAATAAATATCAATCGAGTGAGAGTGATCAAGATCATGGGTAGTGTTAATCTTCCTCCTGGTTTTCGATTTTATCCAAGTGACGAAGAGCTTGTAGTACATTTTCTTCATCGTAAAGCAGCTCTTTTACCTTGCCACCCAGATGTCATCCCGGATCTTGATCTTTTTCCTTATGATCCATGGCAACTCGATGGTACGTACCATATTAATCATTCCCATTTTCCTTCCTTTATTTTATTTTCTAATTATTAAATTAATTTCTAGATGTGCAGATATTAATTCCGAACGTAGTTTTTTTTTTCGATGATAAAGAATATTTATTACGAGAATAATTGTATACTTTAAAATTGTCTTAATTGTACGTACGTATGATCTATATTAGGAAAAGCGTTGTCGGAGGGTAAGCAATGGTACTACTATAGCAGAAAGACACAAAACAGGATTACCGATAATGGATACTGGAAGCCGATGGCCGGCCGAGTTGAAGAACCTGTGCTTACAAGTGACGACAACGAAATAGTTGGAATGAAGAAATATTTTCTGTTTTATACAGCTGAAGGCATCAAAACTAATTGGGTAATGGAAGAGTACCGACTCTCAGAACAATGCACTTCTGCCTCTACTAGATCCTCCAAAACAAGAGGCCGTCCGAAACAAGTAGGTGCCTATATATATATATATATATATATATATATATATCGACTAATTTTTACTTTATTATTTCTTGGGCAAACCTGAAAAAAGTCCCTAGCTATTGGGGCAATATTGATTACATCCTCGATTTATTTTTCATCTTATTAGATCCTTAACGTATCAATGAACTCTCAATGGGATACTTCTGTTAGTTTTAGTTAACAAGATTGAATAAGTATTCATAAGAAGCTCATTTGATGTCTTTTTTCTTCAATTGGAATTCATGAATTTACTAAGATTTCTCCCACCATCTGTTTAAAAACGAAAATATTAAAGGATTCGACTCTTTATTGAGAGAAAAGAGAAATTATGTGAGTTTTACATGACTACTTAATAGTTTTGTTAACTAAGATTAACGGAAGTATCTAATTGACAATTCACTTAAATATTAGGGACTCGATCTAGACAAAAAATAAATTGAAATTACTTCTAAAAATCGAAGACTTTTATGAGGTTTGCTCTTATTTCTTTTTCTTGTTCTTTTTGACTCGTCATCAAGTACTAACTTTTGGCCCTTTTTGTGTTTTTTTAATTTTGATTTGTTCGGGATTATAGTAAATGGGTTGTTTGTCGAGTCTACGAGCGAGATTGTGATGAGGAAGATAGTGGACCGGAACTCTCATGCCTAGATGAAGTTTTCTTATCATTGGACGATCTCGATGAAATAAGTTTGCCAAACTAATTAGTTAGATTAGATTGAACAAGTTGTCAACTTTTGGTCCATTATGAAGGTTCCATCTAAGTGTAGAAAGTGGTTTTGTAAACTAATTAGTTAAACTTATTTTTATGTACTTGTAAGGTTGGATTATCAAAAATTGTAAACCGAATCATTACCACTTCTTTTTAGTGGCATTACTATGCAATTTTGTCAATCTTGAAGATTTAGTATGATTAATAAATGAGTTTCATCACTAATAATTTGTTGACTCGGTGGTAAACAAATTAATCTCCAAATGATTCTAAAATTACATTTGTTGTGAATGATTAAATTTTGTTATTTTTATTTTGAATAAAATTAATCTTACCTCGACGTAAGATATAAATACTTAAAAAAACGAGTTTTTTATTTATATTATCTCGTTTAGTACAATTAACAAAATTGATAGGTATTCATATGAAGCTCCTTTGATTTCTCTTTTCTCCAATTGGAACTCATGAGTTCACGGAGATTTCTCCCATCTTTTGATTAAAAATGAAAATATTAAAGGATTCGATTCTTTATTGAAAACAAAGAGAAATGATGTGAGTTTCACGTGACTATTTAACAATTTTGTTAAGTAAACTAACAACAAAATTTGATTGACAATTTACCGATAAATTAGAGATCTAATCTAAAAATAATAATAATTTGAAATCTAATCTAAATTGCTTCTAAATATTGAAGACTTTTATAAGGTTTGCTCTTATATCTTCTTGTTGATCTTTTCGACCGTCACCGAGTACTAACTTTTTAGCCCTTTTGTGTTTTTTTATTTTGATTTATTCGGGATTATAGTAAATGGGTTGTCCGTAACATCTATGAGTGAGATTGTGACGAAAAAGATAATGGATCGGAACTCTCATGCCTAGACAAAGTTTTCTTATCATTGGATGATCTCCATGAAATAAGTTTGCCAAATTAATTAGTTAGATTAGATTGAACAAGTTGTCAACTTTGTGGTCCACTTGTAAACTAATTAATAAAACTTATTGTTATGCACTTGTACGGTCGGATTATTAAAAATTGTAAACTGATTCCTTATCACTTCTTTATAGTGGCATTACTATGCAATTTTTCAATCTTAAGATTTAGTATGATTAATAAATGAGTTTCATTACTGATAATTTATTGACTCGGTGATAAATGAGTTAGTCTCCAAACGATTTTAAAATTATATTTATTGCGAGTGATTAAATTTTATTTTTTTTATTTCGAATAAAATTAGTCTTATCTCTAATGTAAGATAAAAATATATATAAAAAAAATTTATTTGTATTATCATTTTAATTTCTAAAAAAACGAATAAACAATAATTTGTTCATAACTATATCGATTTTATATAGATGACATACTTAAAATACAATTAAGAACAAATTTAAGATTCTATTCGTATGATGTTATGTTTAAGATCCAATTAAGAATAATTTCAATGTCAATATAAGAAAGCTAAAGCAGATCCAAAGATATATTTTTTTAATAAAAAGACAAAAAATCATGCAATTCTTAACTCCCAACCGCATGAATTGCAGGTTATGATGCGGGATTGGATAGAAAAAGACAGCAATGGACAATTTAGTGAGTGTATTTTGGGTGTGCGTGCAGTACGGGTTTTTTCCTTGTTTTTGATTGGATAGAGTCTCACGTTGAGGCTTATGGTGGGCGAAAGGACAGAAAGGAAGAAGGTCAGTGGAGCCCATTGAGCACTGTACTTCTATTGGGCTTTTCCTCCAATGGCTGTATTTTTGTAAAGAGTTGTGCTTAGTGAATTCTTGGATCATGTATGATGCAAGGATTCACACGCTTGGGTCACTCACACGAGTAATAGCTATGACAATTATAACTTCTTGGGGTTGTGATCTATATAATAATCTAATTCTTTAATTTATCATTATATTTTAATTGAATCAATTTTATCTTTTAGTATATACTAAAATTTTAATTTATTATTCTAGTAAGATTTTCAAGATAAATTACTAAAATTATTCACGTAATTTGTATGTAAAAACTTTCTATTTATCGAATTTGTTAGAAAAAATAGTTATGTTTAAGTCAAGTAACTAAATTCAATATTTTAACTTAAAATCTTACTAAAAAAAGCAGATTTATTCAAAGATAAAATTGATTCAATTACAAATGTAAAAACACATTGAAGAATTAATTTATTATATACGGTTAATACTCTCACCTATTCTATATAATAAACCAATTTTCTAATCTGCTTCTAAATTTAAAACGTTTCTAATCTGTCTTTATTATTTTTGTTGATTTCTAATCTATCTTTCTAATCAAAATTTTCTATCAATTCATCGAAATTAATCTCTATATTAATAGACATAGAACACTTGTGCTAAATAAGAAAAATAATTTTATCAAATCACATGTATAATTTGGTCAAAATTTTTCACTAAAAAGATAAATTAGAAACCAACTCAAATAATAATAAAAAAAGATCAAAGGGGTTTTAAAATGTACAAACGGATTGAAAAGTTGATCTATTATATATAACGATAGATGATGATATTAACTTTTAATATATAAGAACAAATTCGACCATTAACCTTGGCTTTTTTTTCTTTTTTTGGAACTCAATAACAATAATAGCTAGGGTGTGGAAATTAATGTGAATATTTTGCAAGCTGATAAGTCAATTAGTACAAATGTATGATGCTAAATGGCATATATTGTATAATCACATTTTGTATGATATTCAAAACATGAGTTAGTAAAATTAAGACTTTTAGGAATGTATATTAGGATATAATTATATTAGGTGTTATATGAAATCCAAAAGGATGCAATTTTTTTTTCAAATTTAACGAAATTCGGGTCCGATTGGATATCCAATGCATGGAAAAAAATTCCTTCATCTAACCCGATCATACACGGATGATGGGTGTAAGCATACCGTTTCAACCTTAGAGGTAAAGAAGATTTGCTTTTAATGTTGAGCAAAGGCAAATCTAAAGTGGAAGGAATAAGTGGAATTCTAAAAGTTTGTGAGAAATTTGTAAGAAATTCGATGGAGGATTCTAAGGCTATGGAAGGAGGCCTTGAGGGGTTTTTATGTTGTGGTTTGAGGAAGTTTTAATGCAAAAAAAAAAAAAAAAAAAAAAAAAAAAACACATCCAAATCGATTATAAATGAAGTGGAAAAAAGCCTACGTCCATGTTTGAACCAGACGACACTTGCCATATGGGCTGCACAATGCCAATTTTAGTGACATCTTTCAATTTCAAATAGTCGTATCTTTATTGTGCTAAATTTGTTTTACCTTTACCATATCAATATGCACGTTCATGATTCACACAAAGAGGGGGAAATAATGGGCTTGAACTTGACTGATTTGACTATTTTTTTCTTTTTTTTGTGTGATTTTATCCACTTTTATTCGTATTATTTCCTAAGGTAGCTTGGAACTTGTTTCCACCTTTTATAAACTTCCTAAACTGAATGATTGAATGAAGTCGTTTTGGGTCATCCTTCTTCCACATTATCTTCTTTTTTCTTTCTTTCTTTTTTTCTTTTTTCATTCTTTGAACTTCAATCCTTACTTTTTTAGGATTTTTTTTCTTTTTGAATCTCAGGAATTTCTGGTATGAACTAGAACATTTAACATAAACTAGTTTTCTTGATTTCTCAACTCTGTATTTCTTCTTTTAACATATAACGTTTGCACACCAAGCGACCGAAGTTTCTATATTTTTAATTTAGCCTCTAAACAAATTAAAGTTGCCCAATTGAATCCAAGAAAGGTTGAATCTTGGAAAATTAATTTCCTTCACTTTACGTAATCAAACAATTGAGATCTCCTAGCAAAAAAGGTTAAATGGGGTTGTTCATAGTACCTTGCAAAAACCTACAGGATTGGCATGATGATCAATAAAATAAAGCATGTATGTCCCCCTTGCCAAAACCTAGCAGCATCCATCATCTCTAAGAGCCATTGCTTGGAGAAACGGCTTATAATATTTGCCACCAGCTAGCATTTCACTACATTGGAGAAAACAAGACATGGCTTGATGACTTGTCTGGTCTTTTGAAAGAGATTTCAGCATCAAACCTAAAGCAGAAGAGAATCTCGATCCTGCCGACTTCGTTGCCACATCTGATAAGGAAGACTGGAAAACTAGCAGCTCAAGCTCTTAGAGAAATACATGTTATCTTGTAAAATTATGTGCAAGGATTATAGCTTGTGTCATCCTGTAGTGACAACCAAGAATTGCACAAGCATGAATTGTGAGCAACGAAAATGCAACTTGGAGAGAGCTAAAAAGAGCAATCCAGACGAAGAAAGTAGACAGTTTAGTGTATATTTTAGCTAAAGCTGGACTTCTTGCGAAAGTTAATGGTACAAGTGAAAGAGGCAGATATCACATTCATTCGTATTTGTAAAGACAAATATAACAAATGCATTGTACCCGCTTTCATAATTATTCTTCCATCTATCTGTTTTTTCTCCAACAAGATGAAAGTACACGAGCAAGCAAAATGCAGTCGTCAAAGCATAATGTCCTAGGTATTGTGTACTTTTTTTTGGGCATAATGTCCTAGATAAACAACATGAAGGTGCAGCGAAGTCATACATATTTTCCTCTGTACTTTGGTTTCAGATCTTTACATAATTTAGAATCAGTTTCTTCACATAACTGAGGATGAGCTGGACTGAAAACAGAAGAATGAAGATTACCATCTTCTAACCACTTCACATAATTCTCCTTGAAATCCTGATGCTTGATCTTGGCTGCCTCAGCAATTTTGTCAGTGTATGAACCTGTCTTCACCATGGTTAGTAATACTCGGCTGTAACGTGAACTTAGAATCTGTTCAGAAGATGCAATCAATTTGAAACATGGGTGCTCGGGAAAGTGATTGTCCACAACATCATCTTCTCTCAATACAGGGTAAAAGTATACAAGCCTGCCACCCATTACTAGCATCCGAGCAGCGAGATCAAGTAAGTCATGCACACATTCAGCTAAGCTGTACGGTGCAGTTGAAGGAATGTGGTCAGTTCTCTTGTCATCAGGAACAGTGTAAGGCCCCACAATTCCCTTGAGCAATTTTCGGCCACCTGACTTGCGTCCCCCAGCACGAACTCCGTAAGGTGGGTCACAAATAATGGCATCAAAAATCTATTAAAGAGAATTTAATTGAATCAGTTCGATAATCAGATAATAGTATGTAGACGCAATAAGTTGGCAGGTATCAAAGCCTAAATACTATTATCTCCATGAAACACAATACTCCAGAAACCACCATATAGAGCTAGAGCAATCATCTGATTTTTCATCTTGAAATAGAAAAGTAAATGAAAAAAATGCCAGCAACTTTCAACGAGGCTAAAATGATTAAAAACTACTCAGTCCCAAGAAAAAAGAACAGAAATGATTGGCAAAGGTTGAATCATTTACAAATAAAGAACCTGAAGTCATTCATCTTAGAATTGAAAAACATGTCAACAGCATTGATCACAAGAAAGCACGTTGAAAGAACAATATCAGAACAGGCTTAGTAATCCTAGAAAGTTCTTCCTTGCCCAAGGAATAGTTTTGACCTGTAAAGCTAATCAACATTTTTTCGTAAAGTTTCATTATAACTTGAGCCTGGGAACTGTGACTAGACACATCAATTGGTTTTCAATTTTTTTCCTAGGCATCTAGCACTCATGGATGCATGTCACTCCCTGTAGGGTGGTGCAAGATTTCGAAAGTTTACCCACAAGGAGTTCCTTTTAACATATGAAAGGCTTTTGCAACTAGGTTCACCCCGATCTACCCAACTGAACACATTGTCCTTTCAGCTTTGAAATAAGATCTGTCAGATTAGTTTCGTTCCCATTTTCTTTTTGGTGCAATCATTGCTCCAGTTTAATTCTGAACTCACAAGACATGCTACAGGACAAGTAAGATGTTCAGGGCCAGCATGGTTCTTGTTTCTAAAAGTTTCTTCTGTTTCGGAACATTCTCCAGTCACTTTGTGCAAAGCACTCATTTTTTTGAAACGAGGAGATAGATACTTCCAATGATTTTCAAAACTCTTTTACAGAGACCAAACAGAGAAACAAATACTCGTGAAAAAAAAAAAAAAAAACCAGATCCCATTATCTATCCTCAAGTTGAAGAACATGAATTCGAGAAAATAAGAGTATTCAAACAGAAGCAAATAACACTACCACATCAACTCTCAAAGCCCTCGACAACCAGGCTTCCTTCACATTTCAAATGACTCTGCAGGACACTTCATTAACCAACAATCAAAAGCAATACCATATGAATGATAGCAATGTAAAAAAGTTTCCACAATTCACATAAACAAATTTAAGATAGCATTAGTGTGTACGATGTTTAATATATAGCTGTCTCAATTTTGAACAGTTGACACATCTCTACACCAAAAGGGGGAAAAGAAAAAAACAAGTTCAAACCAGGCCATGCTCAACAAATTTAATTGCTAAATTTGAAAAGTTTATGTCATTAAATTTGAAAAGTATAAGCACCTATGCAATGGATTTAGTTTTTAGCTTTGGATACCAAAATAATCAGGAAACGCATTGATATCATCTCGTAACAACATAGTATTTGGTTTAGCTTCAGCATAAAGACATGAGCACAAAAACTTGGCAGAAATTCAAGCATGCCTCTCTAGAATTCAATAAAAAACACGAGAGGGTGAATGTAATCATTTGTATCCGGGAAGAAATAAGCATTCTCAAAAAAGATTACCTCTTTTAATCCAGGACGCCAAGGAGGAAGACTATTATCAGCCCTTAAAAGAGCAACTGGCAATTGTAATCCGTACTGCAAAAATGCATTAACAGATAAGCATAGTTTATGCAAGTTTGAAGTTATTTCCTTAACTTAACCAGACAAAATTACAAGGGAAAAAATATATATTTTAACTGATAGGTAATTTTATATACAAGGACAATTTAGCAATGCATCAGTCATGACAAGCAATGTTTCAAAAAGTGCTTTCAGTCACACAACACAAAACCTAATAAACAGTGTATCTCCAGCTTCACCTGCTTGAAGTTGCTCCAAACATTACAGTCAGGACCACGACCATCACGCACTGCCCTAATATCAATGTCAGCACCCTGAGAAATTTACATACGTTGATATCAATAGAAGAAGCAAATAGATTTTTTGTTTGAATTTTGCAAGGTAGGCATCGGATGGGAAGCAAATTGGCAGGAAACAAAAGGGCAATAAAATGCCAACCATGGTCATTGCCCCAAAGTGAGCTGCAGCAACAAGAATGCTGCCAGTTCCAACAAAAGGATCATAGACAAGTTTCCCTGGTGCGACCAGTGCTTGGTTGGCCATCAAGAAAGCCATTTCTGCATCCATGGCTGTTGGGCCCAGATATGTGCGACTTTTTAACTGATAAGTTGGTAAGAGCTTCCTGTCAGCACCACCAACCAGTCGACCAAAAAAGATTCTTTTTTGGACGACCGGTGGAAGCCCATTGTGAGCTCCATAGTCATCAGTTTCCATGAACCAGAAGCTGTGATCTGGGTTTTTCAAATTAACTCGACCCTGGCAAATGGCAATAAATAAGAAGCAAGATAAGTCAGTTAAAGGGTTGAATGTAATCCCATTGCATTCAAAAAACAAACAATAATATTCGCGAAGAATACTAAATCTATCTGATAATCAATGTTGCCAAGATTAAATTAAAACTATGAGTAATAAAAGAAAGAAACCTTGAAAGGAATGTAAGCAAGACTCTTGATACGGTCATTTTGTTCCTGGAAGCTGGTCGCCTTTCCAAAGCTGTCAACAATGACTTTGAAGGTAGTATCACAAGTCAAGTAAGGCCACTTTCGGTCGTCTGGATAACTCTTTATAGCCTCTTCCAGTTGCTCATAGCTACTTCCTTCTCCCCAAAGTTCATAGATTCCTTTGACAAGTATGCTTCGATTGGCAATTTTTCGAGCTATATCTTCTGAAGGAAGATTGACCAAGTGAAAAGGAGAGTCGGGGTGCTGATTTTCTGGAAGCCTCCATTCCAAACTCGAAAGACCCCCGAACATTTCTGCCAAAGACTCCACTTCTGCCCTTCTGTAATCCAACAATCTGTGGTAAAACACGCACAGATACCACATTTTCTTCTACTCGCTTTTACTGTTATGGTTCTTATAATTATATTCTCAGGAAAGGGCGGGAAGGGGGCGGCAGGGAGGCCAACGATATACACGAGGGATTATTATGGTGGGTGGCAGTGGCGCAGGCAGCTGGCAAAACCCTAGGCTTATTAAGCTGCCTAAAACCCTTGCTGTTGAAGAGAAAAAGATAAGAAAAATAAAACCAAACATTTTCTTTATTAAGAATAAAAAGGGTATATTTCATTTTAGTCTTTCTTTGATCTCTCCTTCGACTAAATTGTATGTGTGAATCTATTTTCATTTCCTTGATGTTATCATTACATATCATATTATGAGATTCAACACGTTCAATTTCATTAATCCAGAATCAATTCCCACCATATCTATATCCTAATTAGAAAGGGTAGTTTATTGTTAAGCAAACATGGACTTATAAGTCATATTTAAGAATCGATTTTTAGGAACAACACTTTTAAAAATTTATTCAGAATTCTCAAAGCTATACATTAAGAAGTATCAACCATACATTAAGAAGTATCTCTTAGTCACGACAAGAAAAAAATAGGCTTGAATTACGTAAAAACTAACATGGATCACATTTATTATTGAACTTAAAAGAATAATATTTGTAATTCATGTAGAGACTCAATATCTTTTTTATATTGACTTTTTATTTTTTTACTTATTGAGTGCAACCAAAAGAAGGAGAAAAAAAGTATTTTGTGTTTTTCTCTTTTTAGTGAACTATATGCATATATGAATGAATTTGACTTCTTATTTGATGCTTTGATTTGTGAAGCTTCTTGAAAATCTTAACTATGTTCGTAGATCAAAACTATATTAAATTACAATGCATGTGTGTTTGGTTATTTAATAATTTTCAAGTGAATTTTTGCTTTTCATCTTCAATTTTAGACGCCATGTAAAAAAATTACACTGTAAATAATTTAATAAACAAAAACTTAAAGAACTCTTGAAAATCTATGAAATTGAAAGAACGATATGCTATTTGGAAAGTTAATAATTTTTGTTTGAGTAAACAATTTTCTTTTTCACTTGATTAGAATAGTCTATAATGTTTATAATCTATTTTTAAATCTTGTGAAAATGGTAATGGTTATATATTGTATTCAATATTAATGAAATTATTTTTTTTATTAAAAAGAAGAAGAAAAGATACAATTATGGACACTTGATTGGGGAAAAGTGAAAGAGAAAGGAGTTGGGTTTTTTTCCTTTCAAAAATTTGTTAGATTTTCGTTTTTCTTTTCTCTTAAGATTTAAAATTTACCGAGTATTTTAGTCTTGAAAATTTAGGAATAGACAGATAGGGGTGAGCATTCGGTAAAACGGTTCGGTTAAGCATAATTCGGTTCGGTTTTCGGTTAACCAAAGTAGGAAAAATAAAAACGAAACCGAACCAAAATTAATTTGGTTAATTCCGTTTGTAACCAAATTATTTCGGTTCGGTTTTGAAATAATTCGGTTTAATCGAATTTTTTCATTACTTCTCCATTTCGGACTTTAGACAGTTCTCCCAAAACTTCTATTTATTTTTTCTTTGCCTAAGCCGAGTAATTAGCAATGCCGAGCTAATAAATAACCACTTTCTTTTCTAAAAAGAATTCAACACCAAAAAAAAATATTCACAATTAAAGTCAAATTTAAACACCCAACAATCCAACATGTTTAACACTCATATATCATAAAAGGAAATAAGTTATGTAAAATAATTATTGATGAAACAAATATCCATAGACAATACAATCGACATTAAACAACAAAAGCATGGTAGAATGTCCGTTCTCATTTCTCAACAAAGAGGACGAGACACGAGCTCTCTTCCCGTCCTAAAACAAATGATTTACGTGCATTTGCAAATTGCAATACCTTCACTCCTTCGGGATCCGCAATAGAATGAAATCCCAACAAACACTCAATGCTCCCGAAAGAGGATATTAACATGCTTATGAAAATCAAAAGCGAGTAGGCTTATTGCCCATTACGGTAGGCGGGAGACACCAAGGCGGTAAGCCTACCGTCGTAGGCCTATTGCCAACCCGAGTAGCCCTACGCCCACCCGAGTAGGCCTACGCCGCGTAGGCACGAGGCACCGAGACGATGAGGCTACTACCTACTATGGTTCTCTTCTCTAGTTCAATGAAAATGAAAATTTACAATTCCCACGTACCGACTAAACTTGCACAAACAACGAAATAAAAAATCAAACTTAGAAAGTAGAAACTTAATAACTTACACATACCATTCATCACGCCAAAACACCATCAAGTCATCAACCCATCAAGATTCAACCATTTGTAATAGAGGTAGTGGTAAGTGATAATTCGAAAATATAAAATAAAAAAATTAAACTTTTAATATTAATATAAAGGAAAGAAATAACAAATGAAAAGGTAAGAGTTATATAAATTACCATCTTGCATTTTCTCAACATCTTGCAAATTTTCTTCAATAATAATTGGTGTCGATGAATTTTTAATCCAATCTTGAGCATATATAAGAGATTCCACTAAGCTATGAGTCAAAGAACTCCTAAAGTAGTCAAGAACCCTTCCTCCAGGTGTTAAATATCGATTATGAGGAAACGAGTAGAAACATAAACCGCCAATATATCCCTAGCCATTTGTGAAATGATGAAAAACCGAGGAGAATTGGTTTTCCACCATTGTAAAATCTTAAAATCAGAACTATTATTTTCAACACCTTCACTAAGATATTTATCCAACTCCGTTTTATTTCCTCCACCTCCGATATCACACTTGTGTTTTTCAAAACGCATCATTATCTCCCTTTTTATTCTAATTTCTTCTTCATCAATCATTTCTTCATTTGTACAACCCACATCTATTTCCCGACTCCCACTACTTTGGCCAATTTCACCTAGAGATGTTGATGAACAACAATAGAAATCATACATAACATACATAGATTCCTTGACAATATTTGACATTCTTTGACCCTCCAAATCACCATACAATTCATTGATTGAAAATTCAATAAATACAAGTTTATGCCTAGGATCAAGTATTGTCGCAATATAAATCAACTTATTCATTTTCTTAATATCCCCCAATACTTCTCAAACTTTTCTTTCATTTTATTGGCCAACGTAAAATCATCTAAATCTCCACTTCGTTGTCATTTTTTCAAAACATGTTCGAGAGCATAAATCTCTTCAAAATAAATATTTAAAGTCATATACAAAGAAACTAAAATACACAAAGTGAGATTGTAAAAAATTTTCAACATGCCTACCAACTTCTTACAAGACTTCCAATCATCAATATTAGGTGGCCCAACAACATTATCACCATGATCTACATCAAATTCACTCCTATATAAAGGATCAATTTTCTCATATCTCTTAAAAGCTCTCTCAAACTTTAGAACCGACTCTAACATCAAGTATGCTTGAATTCCACCTAGTAGCAACATCTAGTTGTAACAAACTCATAGAATCAATTTTCTCAAGTTGAATGCATTCCTTAGATGTTTTCAACCTAGCTGGAGATTGCCTCACAAACTTAATGGCCGATCGAATACGAACGATTAAAGGATTAAAATGTTTTAACCCATCAACAACAACTAGATTCAAAGTATGTGCCATACACCTCATATGAATGAATTCATCATCTAAGATGCTATAACCCTAATTCTTAATCACATCTTTTAAGTGCCTAATTGCCATATCATTTGAACTCCCATTATCAACCGTAACACTAAAAACCTTCTCAATTCCCCAATCAATCAAGCATTTCTCAATGGCAATACCTAAATCTACTCCCTTATGACTATCAATCGAATAAAAATTCAAGATCTTTTTATGCAACTTCCAATCATTATCAATAAAATGAGTCGTTAAACACATGTAATTGATTCTTTGAATAGATGTTCATGTGTCCGTAGTAAGGCTAATTCTTTGACTATTTTGTTTCAAAAATTGCTTCAACTTTATTTTCTCATCTAGATAAATTTGATAGCAATCTCTTGAAATTGTAAAACGAGATGGAATCTTGAATCTAGGTTGCAAATTAGACAAAAACATTTTGAATCCCCTACCCTCTATATGCTTAAATGGAAGCTCATCTAGAATGATCATTTTAGCTAGATCTTTTCTACTAACATTTTGATCAAACTTCCATGTGGTAAGATTGCTTTCTCCCACTTCAAGCTTTCTTAGGTCTAATTGAGTTTAGGTAGAGTCAATACAACTAAAAGGGTTTTTTTTACAAGTCAAATCATGAGACCTGAGTAAAGTTGTCCCATTTTTTAAAGGCTCACAAACAAATACCTTATCACAATAATTACATTTAGCCTTCATGTTTTTCTTATCATCTTCAAACTTTGTGAAATGATCCCACACCATCGATCTTGGCTTCATTGATTTCCTCTTCTTTTCTTTGCCACCGTCTTGAGTGTTACTTGGGGTTGCACTTGATCGTGGATTAGGATTGCTTGAATCTAAAGTTTCATAATTCATCTCTATGGATTGAGATTGCAACATCTACATAAAAACATAGGAAAACGAGTATTAAGCTTCACAGTTCACACTCCTTAGTCCTCGAGCTTAAGCCAAAAAAAAAAAAACAATCTAACTAGGTAGGAGGCACCAAGGTCCAAGGCGGTAGGCTTTCATAAAAATTCTTGTAGAATCGAGAATGAAGTTTTCATTCTGTACATGCCGGATCATGAATTAGTAATTACATCTAATCTCCAAAAAAATCCAAATTGTTTCGAACTTTTTTTTTTTTTTGGAATGGAATATTTACGGAATCCCCATAAATAGGATCAAACCTTATTCCATATTTCCATGGTATTTACCTCTTTTTTATTCTTAAGCAAGTCTCCGAGAGGGCTTAATTGATCCATGATTTATGTTTCATCTTTCATTTTCTTTTCGTTTGTTTCGAGAACTATAGCTATCCTTGGATTATTAAGAACGATCTTACTTTCCTAGTTTGTTCAAGTCTTTTTGTTTT